TCCAAAAGCTGAAAAAATGTATTCTGTCAAGAGGAAGCTTAGTCTTGATGGCCAAGTTTATTTTGGTTTCTCTCCCGCAAATAGCCTAGATACTGATAGATACGGATTTCCTATCGTGATTAAAGAAGTACGTAGAAATGCCTTCATGAGCACTTTTCAATCCTGACCAACTTGTCTCTCATCTCTTCCTCATTTAATCATTTGATCAGTTGCATTCTTAAAACACCAATTTACATTTTCCATCATCAGTCAATTTATCGTCAAACCTACTTACATATTTCTGAATGCAGGTAATTGTTAAAAACAACCACAAGCCATGATTTATTAAAATGTTTTCTACTTTTACCTTCAATTTTTACCTTCTTTGTGCAAGAATGCGTCAGATGTTGGTGCTGGTGGCCAGTTTTTCATGTTTTATTTTTAAAAGAATTACTTATAATTTGATCATTTGTTACACGAAGATAAAGTTGCTTCCATATACAGAGTTGTGGCTTATTGGAAACGACAGTGTGTTCTAAAAGTAGATCAAGACGTATCAGAATATTAACAGTGTTTTGGCTTTTTTAAGGCTTTAAACATGATACAGAATCCTGGGCAGGAGAAACCAACTACTCTTTCACCTTGCAAGTTTCAGTTGTTATTAAAATGGAATGATACAGTAATGTTGAACATTACTGTATGCAGTTAAATGTAAAATCCAGCCCATCCAAGTTCTCAGATATTGCTCTGTCCACTCTGCACTTCGAGTCACTAGAAGTCACTGTAACCTTTCAGACCTGTTGCCAAACACTTGTGCTTTTCTTGAGTGTTATGTCTCTCCTCCTGGTGGCTGGAGTCCAGCAGCAGGAATACAGTTGACACAGGTGATTACAGATTTTTTGACACCCTTATGCATGTATAAGCCGCTTTCTCCCATGCACAGGGCAAGTCCCCTGGTCTGTATGACCTAGAAGAAGCTAGACTGGATGACCCAGTGGTCATCCTAGGAGCCATCTGGCAACCCGCGTCTTGTGTGGCTTACCCTTCCCACTGCCTCACGCAATTCCTTAAGCAAGCATAAGTGTGCTTAGGAGGACTTAATCTCAGAGAAACTGGTTTGGGCCACACTGTTGACTGCCAGTGTGGGTGCACCCGGCTGTTAGGTCATGGGGTTCCTTCAGTCATGTAACACTGAGACAGCGTTTTTGCGATGTGTCCCGTCTGCCCCTTGTGGAATTGCAATCTCTGGATTTGATGTACCCTTTCAATGAAACTTGGCCCCTTATGAAGGTGTTCATACCATTAGGTATTAAAGGAGCTCTATATGATATTAAGAGCACTAATATAGCAACAAACATCTATTTGCTATGTAAGGATGTAGTGGAGTTATAGCTGCTTGAGCAGAGAATGGAGTCACGCTCCCTTTGTGTGTGTTTAAATCTGAGCTGCTCTGTTTGTTGTTGTGGTAGACAGTCTGGCAGAACATTTATGTTAGTGCATGTGTGTATCCCACTGGCTAGCTAATCGCCATCGCTCTGCACTGCTTTCATATGGCAGTTACCGCTGATAATGGGACGGTGTCATTGCAGGGTCCATGTCATTGGTCCGACAGCCCATTGGTTCGACATCCCATTAGTCCAACTGTCCGCAGTGCTAAAAGGCTAAAGGAGGGAATATGGTGCACAGCAACAGGCTCTGGGTCAGCTAGGAAAGGCTTGAGGAAAAGCAGGCTCACGGCTTATGTGTTTGTCACTTTCTTTTTCATTTTAACCCACACCATGATCTTTTCCTGACCCTAACCAAGTGGTTTTTGTGCCTAAACCTAACCAGACCTTAAGCACAGGGCATCATGATGATTTCGGAACGGACTTCGGAACAATGAGTTTAATATGGTCAGAACAATGGGATGTCGAACCAATGGGCTGTCGGACCAATGGGCAGTTCCCATCGTTGCAAAGGTGTGGCACCGACTTTCTGGTTTATCCCTGGTTAACACCGTTGGCACTGTAGCCATTGTTAGCATTGTATTCACTGTTAGCATCATTAGCTGTTAGCTGCCAGCTCCACCACCTCTATCTTGAGAGCCATATCCAGAAAACCTGAATCATAGATTCGCTCTGAATGTTGTTTTGAACTTCTTTAAGTAAGTGGGAGATTCTTTGGAATCTCGAGCCCTTTTTAAACACATTCCTCAATACTGTCGCACACAAGATCTGCCATTGCTTTTTTACACTGAACCACCAACGCCAGCATAATGCTGCTCCAGTGTGTGATGGTAGATAGCATGCTAGCGTTCTGGAAGCAAAAGTGGCAAGATGTGTAGCACAACAGTGTCTGTGTCTTCTGCTAGCTTCAAGGCCGAACAACAATGCTCCTCCATTCATTGTTTGTATGTTTTGTAAAGAATGGCGAGGCGGCATACTGGCACACCAATCCCTCCTTAACCTGGCTGTATAGAAGGGGTTTCAGCCTACTTGTCTTTTCATGACCGCACAACTGTAAAGCTGCTCTAAAAACCTAATAAGCCATCTGGTATGGTTGGTAAGATCAGTTGTCCGGTCATACTGAGGATAGAAGGTATTCGCCACACTGTCAGATGCCCCTGGGTGTGTTCTGTTGGCCCGCGAGGCAAGGAGGGGAAGCGAGAGAAGCTTGAGCCTGTCTGCACTTGCACAGAGGTCACTGCTGGCCTTTTGACTGTCTGCCAGTGCAGGGGCCAGAGTCTTCCAGAAGAGGGCCTTGGCTACAGGCAGACAAGTGAGCCAGCCAGCCAGACAGGCAGCCAGCCGCATCGTCTGCAGTCTAGGTCTGGGGCTAGAGCCTGGACTAGGGCAGCTCAAGTTACCCAGACAGATTTGTTAACACTGTTTGGGTCCGCTCGGCTTTCTAGCCAGGCCTCTGAGCCAAACACGGCTGAGGTGACTTAATCTGTCATTAAACTCACATTACACCCGGACAGAGACTCGGCTCAGGGGCAGAGACAGCGCTCACTCTCCCACTCACTGGCATGGCTGGCTGGATTTGAGCAGACACAAAGAATACCCCCTCCTCCTCCTCCTCCTCCTCCTCCCCCCTATCCTCTTCATGCCACACACCATGGCACAGCTAGACAGCCCAGCACGGTCTAGACGAAAGCAATTTCACTTGAAGTTGAAAAGTCATTTGACTGTGTGACGGTCACCTGTGTGGATCTGGTGCACTTTACAGAGTGTACAGATGACTTTGATTCAGAATATTGAGGTTATCTGCGATTTTGATTTGCAGAAATTGTTCAATCATCAATCCTTGTTTTATATTTGCAGAAATGTGTAGAAATACTATCCAACGCTGAACAGATTGTGAGTGAAGTTGTAACGGCTGGTCGTATAATGCTTTTAATGGCTTGACAGCTTTGGTATTTCTGCTGTGATTGATAAATGTCCCCTTTACAGTCTGTGTCCTTTTACAATGTGAAAACCGTATAACGATAATTAGGACCAAGAAGAAAAGGTCTACTTTGTGGTAAATGTAGAGTCAAGTTCTTCATCCTTTAACAAGGAAGATAACTGAGGATAAAGCATTTTAGATTGTAATATTGTCTGTCATGTTTCCAACAGAGCTATGATTTGAGTTTTGATTTTTGTTTAAGTATCTTTCTCCAGATGGAGCCCAGCCCGTATTGGTTTACAAGACACTAACAACAACCAGGATGGCCACATGACCAATCATAACATACAGTTACACATATTCAAAAAGAAAACATGTAAAAGCATTACATTTCCATAACAGTGTTCCTTTTCCTAGTGTCTTGCCGAGGCAAAAATTTACTAATTAAAGCTATGAAAATTTTATCCATATACTATGATGGACAACGGATGATTATTGCAGCATTCGTTGTTGTTACCGGATCAGTGCGACAGACACCTTTACAAACAAACATAAAACTGTCAAACTGAACATGAAAATGACTAAATCAGTATCCATGGTGGGAAAATGTAGTTTCATTGCATCAGTGACACTGGTAGCATCGCATTTCTTTTTCTCAGAGCTGCTGACGGTACATATTTGTCTTTGTACGTTCTTTACTGGCGATCAGACAAACAGGAGGAGATGGCTGAACTCCGCTCACATCGGGCAAGCAAAATTGCTTCCATTGCTCTCCGCTTGGAAATGTCAGAAACCCTAACAACCTGCAGTACCTTGAGTGGAGGTCTAAGACATTGTTTCCCTCTGCTGAAATTTGTTTTTACCTAACAGCTGGTTCTGGTTCTTCCCCCCAACCTCACCGCATCCCCACTGTCATGAGCAGCCAAGAGCCAACATATGAACTTTATAATCAACTGTTACAAAGAGCAGTGCCAAGCCAGCAAGCTGCATATTTCCCAGAGAAGAAGATTTTGATTTAATTTAGTTTTATTCTATTTTATTTATTTCTTCAGTTTGGTTGCATTCTGGACACAAAGCTGTGTTTGGACAGTTTCATAGCTGTGTCTTTGTGTGTTTGTAAATGATTTTGTTAAGAAAACACACTGTGCATGGAAAACTAGTTGCAGTATGGATAGGAATGATACTCGGGGTTCTTGCTTGTTTTTGTTTTTACGTTTTTTGCCTCTGAAATCTGTGACACAGCCTTCAGTCCAGGGCCTTTCTCACACTTTCCTTAAAATGATAATTCTGGTTCCCACTTCTGGTCTAAAACCATTCCCAAACTTTTTAATGGAGGTTGTAAAATCTGTGTTTTTTTGGGTCCCACCAGTTATTAAAGCACAAGATAATACCATCTGCTTTCTCCCACATGTTTGGAGATGTTTTAGTCATTAAAAAAACCTGGTCTGGCATTTACTTGACATAAAAACCTGCAGACCACTGACCCTAAATGATGCATGGTTTAGAGACTTGTGATCTATCTGTTGCTTTAAACATTTATAAAATAATGAATATTTATTTGAACTTAAATGTGAATCTGACTAAACAGGACCCCTTATACTAATGAGTTAACACTGAATGTTTTGACTGACCATGTTCTCTATTTTTGCCAACAGGTGAAGAAGTACTTCGAGCTGGAGCCGCTGGCCCGAGGGAAGCGCTGGATCCTGGAGGGCAGCACCACCGACAACTTAGAGGCCGTGAAGGAGAGCTTTGGTCAGTTCATTAGCCTGTTGGAGGACAAAGACACAGAGCCCGCAAGGATATGATGCTAACGCCGCTAATGCTAAGAGACATTAGTGGCTGACGACAACGAAACACCACATCCTGCTGGTGCCCATGTACACACACATACCCACTCACGCACAGACACAAACATGCACACACGAGAAAACACAGCAGTTGTCGGCCTCTCCGTTCAAGAAGTGTATTGTATGTTATTCTCCCTTCACTTTGCTCTCATCTTTCAAACTAGAAGAGTGTGTGCCACTACAGCCCGTCAGAGGAAAGCTGCCATTAAAACCACCCAGTGTAAAGCCAGTTGTCAAGAAAAATCATTGAACTTTGCCCGAAATGGAAATCTTGTTTACTGCTGTCTGCACCATTGTGATTAAACCAGCGGCACGTGGGACATGTGGCATTCCTTCAGTCATCAACGGACACTTACACACACATTCTCACCCTAACACACACACACACACAGTCACACACAAAGTGGAGCCCAGGTTGTCTGTAGATATGTTTAACATCTCCAGTAATTACTTTACAGGATGTTTGGGTGGGCTCAGTTGATGTTCTTTCCACTGAGAAGTACTGTATGGCTGTCAAGTGTGCTTCTCAGTTTGACTCGCTAACAACGAATGTCGTTGTGTGATCGGAGTCCAAAACCCTGTGTTATGTACAGTAGTTACATATCGGTGCGTTACACTGTGTCTGAAAATATAATCTGAATAGTGTAGTCTGAGTATCTCATGGAGTATTATGTACATGCAAACAGGCATATTGCTGTGTACCCTCCTGTGCAGCCATACACAAGTACTACTAATCATGTGACTTAAGTGCTAGATGACTTTATGGAGACCATGTGGAGGAAGTGGGAACAAGTCTGAATGCTTTTATAAATGTGCAACTTAGGATATATTTTATAGCTCTGTATGTTAATCTCGTAGAGCTACGTTCGGATTTTTTATAACTCATACCACACTTATGAATTCTTTCAAATCAAAGACCAAAAAAAAAGAAGAAAAAAAAAAACATTGATGATTGACGGGGCTGGCCGAAGCCACGAGGTAGAGAAGTGTGATGGATTTAGTTTCATTTCAATGTTCAGCAAATGTTTGTTTTTATTTTCTGTATTTTTTTTTTCCTTTTGAATTTGACATAATCCCTCTCTCAACACCGGCTAGCGACTCCAGTCTCCCATCAGGGTGGAATACAAACTCTATCAATCAGCCACAGCAACAGCTGCATCTGACAAGTCCCTGTCCGACACCCTAATGCCTTCCAACTGTCTGTGAAGACCCCTCCCTGTCTGCTGTTTATCGCGGACCCCCACCCCACCTCATCCCAACCAACACCACCCCTCCACTCCAGCTCCGCTCCCTGTCCCCATTACTGCTCGGTGGGGCTTTTTATCCCAGATGCCAACGTTGAGCCCGGCTGCCCTCGTGTGGACTCCACACCTCTAAAATGAGTCATATTCATTCTGTCACAGGTGTGCTCGTCCCCAAAGATGTACTTCAGTAACGGATAATGTTCACACCTCCTCCATGCGTGCTTTGTATTTCTGTTGCTGTTGTTTTGTTCAATATTTTGTCAGGTTTTTAGAAATTCAATCACCTTTTGTACCTGACGTCAGCTCTGCCAGGTAGTTTTTTACAGTCTGGATGGATCGCTGCATTCGCTTGAATGCAAACTAAATCTGTCATCGGACTTTGCATATCATCGGCTCACACATAGGTTTTAAAATATTAACTACAATCTCTTTTTTTTTCTTTTTGTATTTGTTTTTCAATCATGCGTTTTGTCTAAAATAGCAAGTAAAAGTTTTAAAAATGAAAAAATTGTCTTAGTCGTTATTTACACTTTGATCTCTTTTGCTTGTTAAAATGTTGAAGTGAAATATTTGATATATTATATTGGCACAATAAATGCTATATTGTCTTTATTTTCAGTGTTTTACCTTAAAATGGGAGTATGGATGACAGTTTATAGGTTTGTTAAACCGTATGAATATTTTGTAGTATAATCACTGAACTGTGTAGCTAATGTTTGTGAAAGTAGAATTTCAGTCAGACCAGGTATGGATTAGAAGACTGCATTCTTAGGTCTGTTTTAGGTAGATATTCGCACAAGATAACATCCATACTTCACGTATTACCATGAAAAGTGTGATGAGTTGAATGTTTGCATATGTTTCTGGAAGCATTTTCTTCACAATGTCTCGGATTTGTGATTTAAGGTGACCTGTGGAAATCTGAGACCTTGGAAGATAATCGGGGAAACGCAGATGAGCCGGTTGAGGTCGAGCCAAAGTTTAAAGAAAAAAAAAAAAGAGCACTCAAAGTCAAAGTGGAGCAGCTGAGGAAAGTTTTGAGTGGAAAGTTAACCAAGTGAGACAGGAGTTCCTAATAAATATACTCTACTCTGTGCTACCTCTGCCTCCCCTTTTCTTCTCCTTTTGCCCTTCTTCCCTCTCTTTCAAATTAACCGTGTGGCTTTAATACAATGTGTGTCATGCAGGTTGCCCTGGCGACTCTTTGATCCTGTTTTCCAGTCTCTGCCTCTGGGGCAGACGTGCTTCTCTTCAGTCTGCTGCACACCAGCTCTGGAAGCTGCTGCAGCCCTGAGACAAACCATGGGCTGCTGCGCTCGTCTCGCTCCCCCCTTTTTCTTCCTGTCGCTCTCACTTTCTCCCTGTTTTTTTGAGCCCTCACTATCTCTCTCTTCTTGCCATTTTTTTTCTTCCTCTCTCAGGTTTTCTCCATCTCTCTGTCTCTCTCTTACTCGCTCTGCTTCCCTTTGGTCACGCCAAAGCAGCCCTCCCTCAACATGGGCATCCAGGATGCCCAGGGGAAGGGAAGAGGCCAGGACCTCAGCGAAGCAGCCCTCCCGGGAGAAAAAAGGAGAGAGGCAGGGGACCTCTCTTTCTTCCACTCCTCCTCACTCTTTCCTTCTGTCTGCACACTTGATTTTATTCCCCTGAAAAAGATGCAGCCAGTCCTCTCCTCCCACACTGAACCTTTACCTGCTCTACCTGTTTAATTGCCGGTGTCTGGCTCCTCTGTGCAGAAAGGTGTTTTTCTCTCGTCCTTGCTGCCAGCAGCCCCTCAGTGCGGCTCACAGATAAGAAGCTGCGCAGTTTTATTTTTGTTGTTGTGTGGAAATACAGTCCAGACTTTTTTTTTTTAATCAGTCTGTGCATTACCAAGCAACAATAACTGAGATACGGTGTTTACTGTGATGGATACAGTATCTCAAGATACTTTCAAGTCTCTGCAAGTTGATTTTTATAATTCACTGAAATGAATGGTAATTAATGGCTGCCTGGAAGGGAGGAAAAACACTTTGAGAAATCTATGGCAAGCCTAATTGTTGGCAGTAATATAAAGCGAAGGTGCGATTTGCAACAAAAGGGCGAAACATGCAGAAATGCCAGAGGGGTCCTTTTTAAGATTCTGCATGTAAAGAATGTCAGAGCGAGACGCCACACAAAAGCAAATTGAACTTCACCACAAACAAATCTCCAACATGCAAATCTGCACCCTCCAGCAGAGTTTATTTATCATTTGTCTTCTCGGTTTTGATTTTCTGACGTACGTAAAGAGCTCTGCATGTACGTCATTAGTCGCCTTCTTTGCATCAACAACTTGGTTACAGTGTGTACAGTACACACATATTACAGGTCACAGGAAATCTTCCATCAAGTGTGGGTTGAGTTTAAACGTGGGCTGAACACTCAACACAGGATATGACAGTGTAGGAAGTCCAGAAAATAAATAAAGCCATGTGGGTTTTTAAAAAATATTATCTTCACACTTTTGCCACGTTTTTATCTTAAACAGCACAACCTCATCGTGACTCCTTAAACAGGAAATTAGCTGCCTGAGTGTTTTCACTGCAGGTCACTTTTCTCTCCCCCCAAAGTTTACATTATTTATTATCTATGATCTGTATTTCAAGTACCATCTGATGATCAATTACAGTAGAGCAAAGATACACAAAAATGAAAATGTTACCAAAAAACAAAGGTACTGACAGTGTCAAATTAAATGTGTTATTACAGTTTTTAGGATACGGTTTCAAAGTAAACATCCATGCTTACAAACAGCTGAGAATTTAGGTGTGTGAACTACAAATGAGTGGAATTGCATGTACAAATGTTTTTGATTTTGCATTTTTAATCTGTCAAAGGGTTGAATATTTCTTCCAGCAAAGCTCCAACAATTCAGGGAGACAGACTTTAAAATTGTACTGACCTTTTTGTTTAGGAAGCATTAATGTAAAGTGTGCATCATGTATTATTTGCTATCTGAATTCTAAGTACCATCCATACCATGATCTATCAAAGTAAAGAAAAAGCAAAGACTAACAGCAATGTATGCCAAAAATAATATATACAATGCCAAAGTAAAATATCAACAAAAACAAGAAAGGTATTAACAAATTTAAAAATGTTATTTTACAGATTTACAGAAGTAAATTGTGCAGACTACAAATGAGTGAAATTGCATGTACAATTGTATTTGATTATTCATTTATTTATTTATTGACAAAAGGTTGAATCTTATCACCAGAAGTGAATTTATAAAGGAATATTACAAGAGTTTGTGTAACAGACTTTAAAATTGTGTTGCTGCTTTTATTTGGGAAGCATTAATGTAAATGTGATCAGTGGATTTCCCATTTATAAATAGTGTATAGTATGTAATTATAAGGATAAAAGTGTGCCACATGCATTAGAACAACCTACTAGAAGTATAAACAAATTTGGTCACGCACAACAAAATGAACCCTGTGAGCTTTGTGAAATGCAAATGCTCGACCTGACGGGGAACCTAACATTCGTTTACAAGACAAACACAATGCATGTTTTCTTAAACTCTGCAAAGAATGCCCTCTTTCTCTCTCTGTCTTCTCCCTTCTCCCATCCAGTGTGTGTGGCAGCGTTTCTGCTGATAAGACCCTGCCAGGAGGTGCAACAGATGTTGCCCTGACATCCATCTGGGCCTCGTACCCCTGCTCTGCCTCCCACAGCCGATGCTCCACACAGGACACCCCACATTCCCGGCCCCTCACAGCGAGGGGGCAGCTCCCACCCACCCCCCCAAAAAAGGCTCCCCTCCTCGTGTTCCTCGAGCAGTGACGCAGCACAGACATCAGCCTTGATGCTGCGTTCAGTCTTGGTACATGTGTGTGTGTGTGTGTGTGTGTGTGTGTGTGTGTGTGTGTCAGTTATCAGACGGGACCTCTGGGTTCATTTGAGGTGTTTCCTCTTTGTTTCAACACTCTGCTGCCTTCATGACGCTCTTGCGCACACACACCCCTTTGATAAACAAACACAAATGACGTAAATGCATTGATATGATGTAAGCTGGTGAGGAAATGTTCCCTGGACCAAATAATCATTTCCAGATACATGCAATGGTATTTCCATAGAGTCACAAATGTGCAGCACTTTGACATCCTGACTGGTGTCACTCTACATATTCTAATTTATTTAAACTGAGCAGTAAGTGCTAGTCGTGCTTATCCCAAAGATGTGAGAGCCAAGCTGAGCAGTTGCTGTCGACCTCATGTCCGTTTCAATTAAATTTTATTAATTAATAGCAGCTGTGGATGAATAGTTGAAATTTTTAGCGGCCAAACCATTTTGGTGTGAAACAGTGAAGGAGCACGGCATGGTAGGACTTTCTATTTCAGCCAAAACTATGAATTTTGATTATTTTACATTAATATTGATTATTTTTATAGCTTCTAAAGGTTATTTGACAATTATACAAGTTTAAAAAGACTCACAGTGCTTCAATTAACAAAGCAAAAAGAAAAAAATTCAATAAAATAATTGTGAAATGTATAAAACCCTCACCTGATATGGAGTCGTTTCATCTTACTGAAGCAAATAAAATGTTTCACCAAGACCAGATTTCCGTTTCACCAAAGCAAACATTAACATCCTTGAAAATATTCAGTTATTTACCAGTAACTTACAGGTGTTTTCTTTTCCCCAGCTTTGTGTTTTCAGATGTGCAGCA